TATTAATTTGAAAGATGTACTCCTCAGTCACCATCTTCTTTAGGGAACGTCAGAAGCATATCATGCACTGTGTAAATAGAGCGAGAGCTGGAAAGCTCCCCATAATGTCACAGTGATCCTCAGTGGCTAGGTCAGTCACAAACAACAAGAAAAGTCACTTTCAGCCCCACTGGTAAACTTGGTAGAATAAAAAAAACTCTGAGCTACCGCACGGTGTGTATTATGGCTGGCAGGCACACTGGATTATCCCTCTTTCTAGTACACATGGAATGTAGGGAAAAGTGTGAAAAAAATTGTGACCCAATTTTATTCAAAAGCCATATCAGTTTTGCATATTGTTTTCTTCATCCATGGCTAGGTATAGACTGAGGCACCTACAACAAAAGACAGATTGACAAGAGAAAAGCATACAACTTCATTAAATATAAATTTTATATGACACTGGAGCCTTTGGAAAGAAAGACCCAAAGAGATAAGAGCAAATGTGTATGTACATGGATGTGATGCAGAATTATGACTGGACAAAGTGGGGTACACAAAGCCTGATTGCCCAGAATCTCCCCCTGGAAAGCGTTACTTTTCTCTGAGCATAGGAGGGACCTCTGGGATTCCTCTACAGTGAGAGTTTTAGTGCCTACTTCACAATGAAGGTCAGCTGGGTTTTTACTCAGCAGCTTCAGGGGAAGAGGCAGCTGAAGCTGAGAGCTAATTTCCAGCTTCTCCTGTGTCCTCAATAGTGTCATGTTTTGGGTAGCATCCCTGACAACTTTAGGAGCTTTTCAGGTAACTTCTCTGTCAGCAATCCTGTTAGTCACTGGGATTCCAGAAAACCGATGCATCTAAGTGAATTGTCTCAACACACAGAAAGCAGGAGCACAGACGCCAGACCAGATTTCTTTAATTTAGAGAAAATACCTACCCCTTGGTTTAAAGTAAATAAATCCTTTGAATTAGGGTCACCCTTGCTTTTTCCTGTGTAAGACAATCTGGGTTTTGTGTTGATTTCAAACAGGATGCACTTGGGCATCATGTGACTGAGTTATATGTTCAACAGTCATATATTTTATTCTCTGAACAGAAAAGAATGACTTGCTTTAAAGAGATCAGTTTCTGTCTTAATATTTACCATTTTAAAAACAGTTCTATGGGCCGGGGATTTGGCTCAGTGGTTCTGCCATCTGCTTTGCAAGCGCAAGATCCCGAGTTCGATCCCCGGTACCAAAAAACAAAAAACACAGTTCCACCAGTCTGAAATTTCTTTAAAATCTCAGAACACAGTTGCTAGTTCACCCTTAATCCACTACTCCAATCCTAAACACATGACTGCCTAAGCAAATGAGTCTGCAGTATTTGTCATTTGAGACCGGCCTTTTTGACAAAGCAGCCATCTCTCCTGCCAGCAGGCAAACTGAGCATCAGGAAGCACATCTTCTCTTGGATGTGATTCTGTAGGAGAGGAGCCCATGGTTTAAAATCCAGTGTAGCTGAGCATGGTGGCACATGTCTGTAATCCCAGTACTATGGGAGGCTGAGGCAAGATGATTGCGACTTCCATCCCAGCCCGGGCAATTCGAGACCCTGTCTCAGAAAGAGTTGTGGGATTCTGTGTGAACATGAGCCAAAAAATCCAATCTCATTTTTTTTTTTTTCTGTTATCAACTGCCTCATAGTTTTTTGTTTTGTTTTGGGTTTTTTTGGTACCGGGGATCGAACTTGGGACCTTGCACTTGTGAGGCAGGCGCCGTACCTCATAGTTATTTTGGGAATCATTAAACGGGTCTCAGTTCATTCATTTGAAAGTAGAAAGAGAAGCTTTCTTTTGAGGACCCGTGTCAGCAAGTAAAGACTGAAGTTTCCTGAGGATTGAGAGTTGATCAGATGAAGGTACTAGAGGAGAGAGCACAGCTGGTTTTGGTCCTCATAGCGCAGTGATGATGACAGCCCTTACAGCGACTTCGTAAATGACGGTTTCACTGTTGCTTAAGTGCTACCATTTCAAGCAGCAGGGCACAGTGGAAAGGAGGGATTCAGTTCTAACCTGTCTCTGCAGTCTGAGACCAGTCATTTCAGTTTCACTGTGTATAAACAGGTAGTAATAGTTGGCCTTGCATTACAGAACATTGTAAAGAAACCTAAAATAATTTGAGCTCAAGATAAAAGCAATATTGAAGTGTGAGGAGTTCATATAAATTATTATTATTATTATTATTATTTGGTACCAGAGATCAAACTCAGGACCTTGTGCTTGTGAGGCAGGCACTGTGCCACTGAGCTAAATCCCCGGCCCAATATATAAATTACTTTTAAAAAGCCTTAAAGCCCACAGCAACAATTAAATGCTTCCTATGCATTAAGCATTTTACTTCAACCAACCTGATTATAAAACTCACTGATTAAGTGGCTATTTAACAGAATGGACTCTTTCACTGATCCTACCTAAAGAGTCTCACATTTAAAAAATCTTTCAGACCAGGGATGGTAGTTTGTGCCTTTTGTCCCAGCTATTCAGGAGGCTGAGGCAAGAAGACATCTTGAGCCAAGTTCAAGGCCACCCTAGATAACACAGGGAGGGACCCCCACCTCAAAAAACAAAACAAAACAAAATTGGGCCAGGGATTTAGCTTGGTGGTGCCGCTGCCTGCCTCGAAAGCACAAGGGCCTGAGTTCGAACCCCGGTACCCAAAAAAACCAAAAAGCAAAATGAAAACTTTTCAGAAGTCTCAGCTTAAAGATGGAAGTTGCTCCCTGTTAACTGCTTCTGAATAGCTGCCTCCTCTTGTAACTCCAGCAAGGTAATCCTGAAGGTGCCCAAGAGCTAGAAGACCCCATTTGCAGAAATTTTCCTGGATTCCTAAAATAGCGCACTTCTATCACCTGCCATTTTTCTATGGCTGTAAAAGGAATGAGTCCATAAAGGACCACTAATATTTTCCCATTCTGGATTGTCTCGGCTTCTGTATATTCAGTTTTAATATCGTCTAACATTCTGAACATGGATATCCCTAAGTTACTTTCTTTAAAGACAGCAAATTTGATTTTTTATATGTATCAGCTGACTGATAATTTTCTGCCTGGTGACAGCCTTCGTGAAAAGCTTGTTTTCTTGGGGGTGGGTGAGAAGTAAGCACTCTCTCCGTCTTTAACCCCCTCTGCTCTGCCCAGAACTAGGGCCTTTGGATCCCCCTTTCCCCAAAGCCTGTGGTGTGGTCTGGGGGAGTGGAGGAGCCTAGGGAGGGGTTGACGGTAAGGGCTGGTTAGCCTGGGTGGCTGGTGGAAGCCAGGCCCTGAGGGTCGAGTTCCTACAACCTTTCCTAATTTACAAAGATACCTTTCCCTTATTCCAAGTCCGGACTCCAGGCATTCTCCACCATAGAGGTTGCGAAGTGAGGTTTTGGGTCACCCTTTGCCAGGCCCCATGGAGCAGTCAGGCCCCTGGAAGCCAACTGGCTCACCTCTACTTCCCCAGCCAGGGATGAGTCAGCAGCTCCTCCCCAGGGACCCTGGGGCTTAGAAATTGTTCACCTCTGAAGGGTTGTTTGGCTCCAGGAAATAAAGTCACAGGGACAAACATAGTTTGGAATGGATTCAGACTTTTTTTTTAGCTCTCTAGCAACAGCAATTATCATTCTCCCCTTCTTCCAAATAACTTGTAAATGTGTTAACTCTTGAAACTTTGACTTCTGAACAATTTATGGGAAAAGTGTGTTAGTATATTCTAATTGTATTGGGAAAGGGCTGTCTGTTGTTTTATTCTTGGTGTCTTTCATGAATTGCTGAAGTCTTAGAAAAGAGTTAAGTTTTTTCCCCTTCAGATTTCTAAGAGTATGCTACAGGACAGAAAAAAAATTTCAGTTAAAATCAGAGAACTAGAAATTACCTAGATTTTGGACAGCTTTGATGATTGTTTCCTTTTTTTCTTTTCTTTTCTTTTTTTTTTTAATTTGGCAAATCAGTAAGAGATTTAAAAAAGAAGAGGAGGGCTGGGGATTTAGCTCAGTGGTTCCGCCGCCTGCTGTGCAAGCGCAAGGACCCGAGTTCGATCCTTGGTACCAAAATAAATAAATAAATAAAAATGTGAAAAAAAAAAAAAGAGGAGCAGAGAGAAGGGTTAAAAGGGTACACATACTGTCCTCTGCCCCGCACCCCAAAGAGCAGGATTTTAAGAGGAGCTGGGTTTCAATTGAGAATCTCCCTGGGCTCCAGAGTTGAGCACAAAGGGGTGCCTCCTACTCATTGTCTGCAGGAGAGCTGGCTGGCTGTTCTGCCACCAGAGGGTGGGCCAGGTGACAAAGCAGTTCTTTGTAGGACAGAGGCCTTGTGCTGCATGGCCAAACACCTTCCCCCAGACTGGCCTTCAGTTAGTTAATCCCTGTTTTCTTTGACTGCATCAACCGCCCCCCCCACCCCTGCCCCACTTGTTTATACAGGCTGTCTTATCTAATAGTATCCCATCACCATTAGATTTATTGGCTATACCTACGAATTAGAAAAAATCTCCGAGTTTCTGCTCTGGGAACAGAACTCTCCTATGGTTTGAAAAACCAGACTTTATAGAACAGACCAACTGAACTAATGAATGATGCTCAACTTTTTCAGCATTGTGGCGGCCAGTTTTGAACTTCTGTGAATCCTTCTCTCTCCAACTTTGGTTTTTTGGGGTAGTTTTTGTTTTGTTTTTTGTTTTTTCCAGTGCCAGGCGTCAATCCCAGTTGGTGCTCACGCCAGGCACTTCGAGCAACATCCTCAATCCCTCTTTTCTTTCTTTTATTAAATTTGACTTTTATTTTGAAAAACTCAGAGAATGTTTGCATAACCTTTAATCATTTGCTACTTCTGAAAGTAGTATTAAACCAGCATTAAAAGCACTAATATAGATTTAATACTTATTATTGGCCCTCATGACTTCAATTTAAAAGTTTAATACACAGTTGTTACACGATGGTTAAGTATTGGTTGGCTCACTTACATTCTGAATTATTTTAATATTTGCTTGACTGCAGGAAATCTCCACCGAACCAGCAGTGTTCCAGAGTATGTCTACAACCTACACTTGGTTGAAAATGACTTTGTTGGAGGTTGTTCCCCTGCCACTAAGACCTACGACATGCTGAAGGTAGGACAGCAAAGAGCAGAACCCTCAATAGCAGATTGCCAGCAAAACATTTTCAAATTTCTTTTCTTTCTTTTTAAAAAATATTTACCTTTCCTGAGTATCATCATTTCCTGAATGAATTTTGAGAAAATTGGTTTTGTGTGGACACAAAGGAAAACTGGGCACTTTAAACAGTATGAAACCCTAGTGCAAATAAATGATTCAGGTCAACCAAGCCTCATGTAAAAAAAGACTTTACCAGAAGGGGCAGCTTCTCCATCTGATTCAGAGGAACAGACATCTTGTGCCTTTTGTCTTCAACAAAGGCGAAAGCAGGTCTAGGCCTCATTTGAATTTTATTTTCTCCTGCAGGCTGGTGCCACTGCCACACAGGGCAGCCGCTGGGGCCGAGGGACACTGCAGTACAGTTCCCAGAAGTTGGTGGAGGACAGGCCCTGGAGGCAGCCGCTGCGGAGACTGGAGATCTCCCCGGATAGCAGCCCCGAGCGGGTCCACTATGCACACAGTGAGCATCACTACAGCCAGCGGAGCCAGCTGGGCCACCCCCTGCGCCACCAGGACAGCCGGCGCTCCACACTCCTTGTGCCCCCGAGATACGCCCGCTCCGAGATCCTGGGCTTCAACCAGGCCGGGGCCGTGAGCAGGCAGCGCCACTATGACACCTACCACAGACAACACCAGTACGGGTCTGTCAGCGACACCGTCTTTGACAATGTCCCCGTCACCCCTGCGGTGTTCGCCTACCCTAGGCCAGGGACCAGTCACAGCATGGGCAACCTGCTAGAGAAGGAGAACTACCTGAGCACAGGCCCTGCTGCCGGGCAGGTCAGGCCGCTGGTGCCCCTCCAGCCTGTCACTCAGAGCAGGGCCGCCAGGTCCTCGTGGCACCAGAGCTCCTTCCACAGCACCCGCCCGCTTAGGGAAGCCGGGCCTAGCGTCACTGTGGACTCGGGTGGCCGGAGGACACACATGACCGTGGGCCAGGTTGTGGCGGCAGGCAGTGGAAATCTGCTTCTGGAGAGGAGCACCATCGCCGATCCGCAGCTTGGGTGAGTCTCCTCTCAAATGTGCTGCCCAGGCAGTGCCAGCCACTCTGTCCCCACAGCCCGACAGCCTGAGCCGCACCTCTGAGGCTGCAGAGAAGGGGCTCCAGAGATGGTGATTAAAACACCAAGTTCACAGGCAGCTGCCTAACTGGCAGATCAGCCCATTTGCCTCAGGGACAGGGCCAAGCTACCTGTGCACGTGGCAGCCCCGTGGGGAAATGTGACTGGAGCCTCTCTGTCCCAGATTAGGTGCTGGGTGAACGGATCTCGGCCCTCAGCTCTGTGAAAATCTGCTTGGGACAAGAGCAAATGCCAGAGTAGCCCAAGAAATGGCAGTGGTATGTGCATTGCTTGGATAATGATCACCACAGAGCAGTGGTGGCGAACCTGTGGCATGTGTGCCACAGCAGGCTGCTGGTATCAAAGTCCTGTGCAGTTCGCCGTCACTGTGGTGGAGACTGGGAGAGCTGAGGAAAGGCAGCTGTTTCCACATGTCTCTTTCCTTCCCTTGACACTTGATACCTCTGCTCTTGATTCCAGCATTAGTGACGTGGAGAGTATTTCTTAGCAAAATTAAACAATCAAAATAATGGAATTCCGCAAGTCATCCTTTGCCTTTCCTATTTCCCATATGCTTGGCCAATTTAATTTTGAGGACTTAGTCCTTATTCAAGTTTGATGCTCAAGTGCAAATCTGATGACTGGAAAAAGTTACTAAGAGAAAGGTCTAGAAATGGACTGATGATTACATAAGTAACTGCTAAAATAATGACCTAGACAATTAGGGCAAAACATCAAACATATGATTGTTGTGTGGTATTAACGTAGCTTAAGGGTAATTGTTACCTTTCATCAGTCCTTCAAGTGAAAACTTAGTACACTCATTGACAAGGTAGGTTCTGGTGATAAACTGCTTTCCAAAAGGGAGCTGGGGCTCATCTAATCTTGAAGCAGGTAATAGTGAACCCAGGGCGTTCAAACCAAGCTACACTGGCTCCTGCTTTTTTTATTTTCAGAGACAGGGTCTCACTAAGTTGCCCACACTGGGCTTGAACTTAGGATTCTCCTGCCTCAGCCTCCCAGAGTGCTGGGATTACAGGTATGTGCCACCATCCCCACCTAACATTTGCCATAGAGATGAAATCAGATCTTTGTCAATATGAGCATATTTACAAAGAAGAAAACCATATCAAATCATTATTTTGGAAGAAAAGCTAATAAAGGCTTAAGAAGATAATTCAAAATTTATTGAATGCCTGCTATAGTTGAGGCATAGTTTTAGTGAAATAATTTCAACAGTAACAACTCTCATCTCACATCCTCCAACAACTGACATCCTTTCCCTTCTCCAGCTCCCTCAGCTTCTTAAACCCCTACCACATCGCAGTCTCTTGAATGCTCTGCCATGTGGCTTCAGTCCCCACTTCACAGGGACACTATCTGTAGGGAACAGGGAAAGGGGACGTTACTAGAACCTCTGCAGTGAGTCCTAGTCTCCTGCAAGCCACAGCAGCACACGGCAAATTAACTTATTACACAGGAAAGGTAGAAAAATGAGACTGAGAAGAAGCTGAGTTTTGGGCCTGATCAGTGCCTAGCTTGTATTCAGTACATCGCAAGAAACAAATGTAACAAATGACTTGCCAAGAATTCAGTACATCGGGATAAACAAAGTGTAACATGACTCGGGGCTGCGGAAATCCAAGAACAATGAGAAACTGAGTAGGTGAAGAATTTGTTTCTCCCAGGATGTCTTCCGCTGGTGTAATCTTGTCCTGGAGCATCACTGTATCACCAGATCATTGAGGTCTCAGTTGTGACCGGAGGCCAAAAATGATTTATGTCTCAATATGCCATAGCTGGCCTGTAGGCAGGAGAACTAGGCCTAAGCAAATGATTGTTCCCTAAAATTATGTAGCATTGCTCCCAACAACTATCTTCACAGGTGCAGCCAAGACTCCTAGGCACAACCTCAGCATGGGCACATCCAGCCTTCACAGCAGCCTCTCTACCCCATTGTGTTCTGGACACATCCTCCCCTGGTTTTCCACTGACTTCCTCTGTCGTTTTTCAGTCTTCCCAGGGCGCCCCTTCTCTTCAGGCCAGAGAAGGCTGTTTCAGTCACCCTGTGAGGCTCAGTGTTCTTCAGGGAGCCCCCTGGTACCTCACAGGTTTCCTCTTGATTCCTACAGTTTGGTCTTCAGCCTTGACTTCCCCCTCAACTCTGGACTGTCTGTGTATTCAGCAATGTCTTGGACACCCCAACCTAGCATATCCTAAATTAAATCCATCAGCTGTTCCTGCCCCTCTCCTCCTCTGTCTGCTCATTACAAGCTTGGGTGGGAGTCACCCTTCCTTCACCCTCCAGTCACTGATCCCTATTTTCCCTCCTTACTGCCCTCAGTTCCTACCTTCTCTCCTCTGTTGTGGCATAGGTCTCTGCCCTGGCCTTGCTCAGCGCTGTTCTCCAGGGCTGTCAGAATGTGCTTCCAAGGTTGAATTGTTCATTTCCCCAGTTTGTAACCTTGCAGAGATTCAGCTAAGTGTTCCTGCTGGCTAGCATGGCTTCTGAGCTCTGTCACCTCTGACTCCATCTCCACTTCCCCCTCTAGGCTCTGTTCTCTGCTCTGCTGCACTTCGCACCACAATGACCCCCAAACACACCTGACCCAACCCCTCAGACCCCTTGCAACCTCCTGCACTTCCCTAATGCAAGACACAAACATTCCTCCCTCTCCCCGCTGTAGTGCTCACCCCTCACTTCCCTTTCCCTCATGGCTGTCCTTCTCCAACTCCAGCTCCTTCCAGGTGTCCTCTGCCCCTGTGTGGCTCTGCATAATTCTGTGTTTAGCTCAAGCACCACCATTTTCCTGACCATAGCTGCACTGTGTGGACTTCTCTATCTGAGTATTTATTGTCGTTACTCATTTACTTATCTTTTATCCTAGACCTTGAGCTACTTGCCAATATTGTATTTATCTTTATATTCTCAGCACCATAAAACAGAGGCAGGTTCATGATAGGTTCTGTGTAAATGTATGCTGAAAAAATGAAGGAATTAAAGGAGGGAAAGATGAAATATAAATTCTTTACTTATTACCATCTGGGTTTTTTTGTTCTCATGTTCTAGTAGTAATAACCGTACTATTTCAGGTTATTGTTTTAATGGGAAAAGTAAATTTTATTAGAATATTTAACCATATTGAAAAGAGAAGAAGGAACATTTGGGGTCAAGACATTTTAAACAGTAAACAATCTTCCTGAGATTCCCCAAGTTCCAGAGACTAGAAATCATAGAAATTAATGCTTTTTTATGATTTCTGAAGGGACAATTTAAGTTGTTCTTTTTTTTTGGTTCCGGGGATCAAACTTGGGTCCTTGCGCTTGGGGGAGGCAGGCAGCGGAACCACTGAGCTACATCCTGGGCCCTGGGTTATTCCTTTTTATTTCTGTTTTTCATTCTTTTTTTTTCACTAGTCCATATTTGCAGTACACAATGGTCACATTCTTTGTGGGGGTTGGTACATGTACATAACACATCTGAATTCATCTTTTATTCCCTTTGCTTCCCCTTCCCTTTTTTCTGCTCCCTTCATCTCTTGGTCCTATGATTTCTGAAGGGAAATTTTTGTTTTCTATAAAGGAGCAAGAGACAAAGGAATTACTATAGGGAGGAAAATACATGACACTTGCCTGAGGCAGCACGTGTGCTGTCCGTCTGTCCGTTTCCTTTGGAGAGCACCTGGCTCATGCACATCCCCAGGCTGCTCACAGAATGCCTACCTCGAGGCCACACTGCACTCCTCTGCCCTATACGTCACACATGTCAAACTAGCTGCCTCCTGTGTTGTGGACTTATGCCTAGCACAATTCCCTCGTGTTCCCTAGGAGGTGTTCTTTCTTATAGGGAGAACATTCTGTGCAGTCGCTAGATAGACGGTGAACCTGCGGGAAGACATAAAGTATCACACCATGGATCGTCCCAAAAGCAGATCGGCCAGGCAGAGAGTTCAAAACTATGAGTAAAAGAGAGACCATCATTGCGCCCAGCCTGGTGGCACACACCTATAATCTGGGAGGCTGAAGCAGGAGGATTGTAAGTTCCACTCTAGCCAGAGGAACTTAGCAACCTAGTAAGAACCTGTCTCCAAATTTTTTTTTAAAAGGCTGGAGACGAGCTCAGTTTGAAGGCCCTGGGTTCAATCCCCACTACTGGGGGCAGGGGCACAGTCAGAAATGTACCTGTTGGGGCCTGGTGACTCAGCCAATGGAGAGCAGCTTCTCCCAGTGCACCACCCAGCACTCCCATAAGCACCACAGAGATAAAAATTGAGTGACATATATGAAGGTTGAGGAGAGGCTCTGAGAAAAGGGAAATAGGGCAGGTTGTGACTGCTAGGCTGCGTGGGCTACTCTCAGTGTCTGTAGGGACTGGGAGACCACAGCTCTCTGGGTCTGGCTGAGGGAGACAGAGGAGAGACTGGGTTTCAGCAAGATCACCACACAAGTTTGTGACCTGGAGCAGGGCAGAGCAGAACATGGTCATACTGCCTTTCCTCCCCCCCCCCTTTTTTTTTAACAGAAGGAAATTGTAGATTTTTTAAAAACATGTACAAGAGAGTCTCCAAGGGAAAAGGACAAAGGTCCGGAGGCCAAAAGCTTACAGACCTTTTTTTTTGGTGGTGGTGGCACTGGAGCTATATTCCAAGGCACTTTTTATTTTGAAATGGGATCTCACTGAATGGCCCAGGCTGGTCTCAACTCTCAGTCATCCTGCCTCAGCCTCCCAAGTGTGGGGAAGGATGATAAATTCTGCAGATGTGCAGAGACAAAGGGGCCTTGGGTAAGGTGCAGAAAGTGATGATGTGGTGAGCAGGAAATGCATGGGGAAACCAAGCAAGGTATTGTTTTAATAGGTTTCTTTGGGCAGGTTGATGTCAGCCTAACTGCAGGTCTCTGCTGGTAGGTGTTCTCTGCCTGGCGCAGCGAGGGCACCGTTTGATTACAAGTTTTATAACTTGCCTTTAGATAGAAAAGGGCCGAGCAGAGACTCTGTTCTTATCTGCTGTTTTTCAAGTGCCTTTGGTTCTGGATAATCAATGCACCAAGCAGCATGTTGGAGGCGGCCCATCCTGAAAACTTTCAGCCGTCTGCTCCTGCTTATGATTCCATAATTTGTCCATTGTGGAAAAGCTGGAGTTGTAGCTCACCATCTCCTGTTCCTAATCAGTAACCTGCAAAGACTGCTGGTAGAGCATGACTCAGGGGTCACTGTTATGTGCCGTCCTTGCTGTCGGGACAGGGCAGGGATGTCAGTGAGCTGGGGGGCTGTTAATGCCTCCACACCCTCTTCACTGTCGGTTGCTTCTGGTTGGTGCATCTTTCTTTCTTCCACTTCCGTTTTAATGGGCCAGTTCAAGGCTTTCTCGCCTCGGCTACAACTTGCAGTCCCCTTGGATCTGTTGCCTTGTTTCTAGAAACACAAGTCTGCTTCAGAGCCTCTCTCCAAGCAGCTCTGTGGAGCTGTCTGTTCAGGATCGGGTGTGAGCTCGGCTTGCAGAGGTTCGGCCTGCAGAGGTGCGGCCAGCCATGTCCTGATATCTGGGGAGCTAGCCTGCCTGGGGTGGGGCTGAATTGTGGCCTGGATTCTGAGTGCTGTGGGGCTGCACAGACACACAGATTACCACCCACCCAGTGATGGTTCATATTCCAGCCAGTGCTCTCTCACATGCTTCCTCTTGTGTTTTCATTTACACTGACATCATCTTACAGGGTGTGTGTGTGTTTGTGTGTGTGTGCACGCACATGCATGCTGCAGATCAAACCCAGGCCATTATGCTTGCTAAGCAAGCACTCTACCACTGAGAAAAGGCTATGGCCTTTACACAGCTGTGATCTTAACATATTAACCAATGTTGTTGGAAAGACCGCTTCTCGGGCTCATCAGAGTCCCCTTGTCCAGGGAACATGGCCCATGGGCCATGGAACTATTGTTCCTGATCCCCCACCTGTTACCCCAGCCCGATCCTCCAAGCTACACTTCTGCAGGCCACAAGAAGTGTTTATAAGTGAGTAGGAATAAAGTAAGAAAAGAAGGGGAAAAATGGAGGAAGAGAGAGAAACAGATGCGGGTAGGATAGCTCTAGGAGGATGGAGGTGGGGAGGAGTAGCTGCGCCTGGCTTCAGAGGCATGGAGAAGCCTTTACAGCAGGATGGCCTTCAAATTGAGTTTTGAAATGTGGATGAGAATTGGGTAGAGGAGCACATTCCCTAGAACAGTCACAGACGGTAGCTCAGAAGAGGGCATAGATGGAAAGTCCAGCGTGGCTGGAGTACGGGGTTGTGGGAGTAAGAGGGCAGAGGATGTGAGAAACAGGCAGACGGGGGCAGTGTGAGGGCCGCCTTGTGGAGCTGGACTTTATACACAGGACTAATACAGAGCACAGACACCCTGGGTTCTGTGGAAACTGGCGTGAAGGAGTTTAATTTAGTTTAGGAACTGTTTGCAGTGCCAAAGTGAAGTAGCGTGCAGTCAACTGGGAGTGAATGCAGGGCTCATTTGTGAGTCATGTTCAGTAAAATAAAGGATTCTTGCAATTTAAGTATTTGTGGGTGCTGAAGATGGCAAGTTGAAACTTTTCTGAATCACTTCTGGCTTTAGGAGAGGGATTAATGGCTGAATCTTTTGTTTAAAAGCCTGCATTAAATAGGATGCCATTCTTACACCATGAATGACCTCTCATCAGTTAAAGCGCCTAAGGAATGGAGAGCCAAGATTTAGGACTGGCATTGGGTATGAGAATTTAAGATGTTTGGTATCTCTGCAAAGATATTGGAGTCTATGAGCATAAAGGATTTCCATCTCTTTTAAAAAGTGGGTTCATATTATGTAAAAGCAACTCAAATTCTAGCTTGAATAAATACGCTGTGTAGTTTTTTTGTCTTTATTTGGTTTTTATTTTTTGGTTTTTTGAGACAAGGTCTCACTATGCAGTTCGGGCTGGCCTTGAACTCACTATGTAGCCCAGGCTGGCCTTGAACTCATGACAGTCCTCCTGCCTCAGCCTCCTGAGTGCTGGGATGACAGGTGTGTACCACCATGCTCAGCTTCCCTGTGTAGTTTTTACCAATTACCAATTTACCAAAATTGACTGTCAAAGCACAACATCTTCAAAAAAGACATGACGTAATTCTCAGTGTACAGTAGACCCCAGGAATGCTCTGCTCCCCCCCCCCATTGGGGGTGGGAGAAGGTCTCACTGTGTAGTTCAGGCTGACCTTGAGATCACTTCTTGCCCCTCACTGGCCCCACACCCTACTCACACCTCACTCCCAGCGCTGCTCGTGCTGCATGTGTGTGTGTGTGTGTGTGTGCTCATGCGAGAGTTTGCTCCCTGTTCTTGCTAGTAGGTACTGATGTCTTTGGTGTCCCTGTTACCTGGAATGGTCAGATGTCCCCCTTTCTGATGCCAGCGAAGGGTCCTCAGTCTCCTTGAGGACATTTCCTTAGGCATGACTCTAAGGTGTCACCATCCTGGTTAGGGTGTCCGAGCAGGGCTTACAGAAGGCCTGACTTGGTCACGTCCATAGAGAGAAGAGACTGCCTGACCCAGTCACCTCTAGTCACAAATAAAGGGGAAGAAGAAAACAGTTCTGTAAGGCATTTGGGCATCATTCAACACCTGGCAGTGCCACCTGCCCTCTGTGAATAAGCCCCCTGCGTCAGATGCCATCAGACGCGACCATCACCTAGGTTAGTGAAGGGCAAAGACGGCCACTGTTACTGGGTAGCTCCTGAAAGTGGCTCAACAAATAGTTACCCAGTTCTGGGTTGCTCACCTTTCCTTCTGGAGTTAGATTACAGGTTCTTCTCTTGAACAAAGAATTGAATGAAATGAGCAAAAAGCAGTGGCAAAGTTTATTTGAAAAAGTAAGAAGAGTGAGGGAGAAACTGGCTCTGCAGAGCAAGCTTGGACCAAGTAAAAGAAAAAAAAGCAAGAAAAAAGTACACCCTGGAGGACACAGGGCATGCTATCATGAGGAAAGCCCCAGTAGCAAGCTCTTCTTGGCATCTGTGTCTGTCCAGATCTCGGGGAAATCTGTGAGAACTTATAAGTATAGGTCCTGAGGGGCGGTGCTGGGATCTCAGCCTCAGGCTGACCTCAGGTCTAGGCATCATATTGAAAACCTGCTCAAGTTCTTGCAAGAAGTCCACTCACAGGGCTTTGGGGGTTGTTCTGCACACACATAGTGGGATCTTTAATGAACAAATCCTGCCCACTTCCCCACCCAGCTCTGCCGTGCCCTACTGTCCTATGTCACCACCAGGATTGGCATAAACCGAGTGTGACCATGATGGCAAAGAAAGTGGTAACAATTGTTACATTGTTTAATAAAAAGAGTATTTACAATTGTATTGCATTTAATTGTTACCTTCCTAATTCATTCTGTCTCATCAGCCTTTTTTTTTTAATTGCTGAAGATTGAATCCAGGGCCTTTGCACTGAGCTGTAATCCCAGCCTTTCTTTTTAATTTTATTTTCATTTTGAGATAGGGTCTCCCCAAGTTGTTACGTTGCCCAGGCCAGTTTCAAGCCTGCCTCAATCTTCCAGAGTGCCGAGATTACAGGTGTGTGCCACCACACCTGGCTCAGCGTGATTTAACAAAACAGAACTCTTTTTCTGGCTTTCACTATTTTGGAATGTGTATATTAAAAGATTCTGAGCAATCTTGAGAAACAACCTAATGCTTTTTGAGAATGGATGTTTCTAGTATAGGTGTGACATTGCCGGGGTAAGAATAATTTTGAATTTCTTAAAGTCATTTTTTAAAGTATAATTATCGAGCTACACGTTTGATTACAAGAGCTCCATTTTTCTCTTTGCTGCATTGTGATTGCCCTCTGGGAGTCTTCAGAGCCAGCCTACTTAGAGCAGGAGCCTCTGCCTTCGACCGAGCAGCAGCCAGTGCTGGACTGTGCTAGGTGCTGCCCAGTACCGACAGGGGCATCCCGAGGGCCGGGGGCAGGCGGAGGGCGCAGGGTGGAGCCTGGCTGACCTGTGCCTGTCTATCTAGGGCCTCAGACATGGAGATGACCCTAGAGCGAGCCGTGAGCATGTTGGACGCCGACCACACGCCGCCAGCCCGGGTGGCGGCCGCGGCCACCTTCATCCAGCACGAGAGCTTCCAGAAGGCGGAGGCCCGCAGGAGGGTGCGTACCGGCTGCGCTGTGCGGGCGTCCCTGCGCCAGCACCGGCCGCTCATTTAAGTCTTTATAACTCTTCGCTAGGGTTTGGTTTCAGTGATTTAATTTAAGAGGAAATACTCATTACGTAAAATCCTTGGAAATGTAGAAAGTCGGTTGCTGCAGGAGCCTCCCTCTTGGCCTGACGACTCAGAGCCTCCCCTCTCAGAGAGAGAGATTTAAGCTCTTATTTTCTATATTTTAAAAATATAGAAATAGAAGCGATAGCTTGTAACTGTTTTCGTTCCACTGTTTTATGAACATACTACGATAATCATTCAAGGCAGTTTCATCCGTCTATCTTTTGACGGTTCCGTAAGTGTTCCTATAGGACAGAGCCCAGCGTTGGGACCGGTGAATCGTGGCATATTTGTTTTGAAAGTGGCGTGTTAGGGAGATGTTCAGTAAAGAGTGAGTCTCCCCCACTCCGGACTTCAGCCTCAGCCCCTCGCCTTCTCCCCAGTCAATTTGTGGGCGCCTTTCTGGAGACATCTTGTGCATGCGGAATCAACTGTTGGAATCTAAGCACTGGCCAAGTAAACTTTTCAATTCAAATTAAAATCACAAATAGCAGCATACTATGTTTTCAGTTAGCACTCTACAGTGGACCCTTGGCTTATGAACCCAGTTCATTCACAAGGGCTGGTTGTAACTCAGGTTGGTCAATTGAAGGCTCAGGCTCTTCTACACAGCCTTCCAAGTCTCTCTCCTGTACACCACACGGGAATGGATGTTGTAATGTTCCTTCCAGAACTCTTTTAAGGGTTAAATCTGTATTTGAGACCATCTGGAACCACAAGCAGCCAGCATCCATTCGGGTCGAGACTCAAGACTTTGTAAGTTAAAACTGAAATTCTGGTTGTAACCCGAGTTGTTCATCAGGCCAGTCATAACTCGAGGGTCCACTGTAACTTAGAAATCTTCCATGTATAAGCCCTTTATCATTCTTTAAAACTGCTATATTGATTTCTGTTGTCTAAATGTACTTTTGTTTTATTTTTTGTGGTTCTTGTAATGAAACCCAGGGCTTCACATGCTAGGCAAGTGCTATCTCGCTGAGCTCTAACCCCAGCCCTAAATATACCTGGTGTATTGGTTCATTTTAAACAGCTTCAGGAGCTACAGTTTGATAAAGTTTTGAGGTGCGTTTTGACCTTATGAACCCTTAATCACAGTCAAGATAATGAGCATATCCATTTCTCTAGAGGGGTCCTTTCGAGCTGGGGATGGAGCCCTGTGGCAGGGCACTTGCTCAGCGTATACAAGGCCCAGGGCACTGCCCCAGCACCTGTTGCTGTGCCCCATGTGATCTGTACATCCCACTCGGTGCCAGCAGCATCCATCCTTCAGAGATAGCCTGCTTTCCATAATTATGGATTAGAGTGCATTTTCTAGAATTTTAGGTTAGTGGAATTTTGTTGTGTATATGCTTTTTTTGTCTGGATTATTTTACTCAGCTTGTCTCCATGTGATGTGTTTCAGAAGTTTGGGCTTTAATAAAGCTGCCAGGAACATTTGTGTCGAAGTTTCCACACAGACAAATGCTTCCATTTCTCTCGAGACAATCCTGAGGCGTGGAATGCTCAGGTGACATGGTTGGTGTGTGGCTGACAAACTGTTTTACAAAGTAGCTGTGCTATTTTGCACTCTCACCAATGTACCAGAGCTCCAGTCCCTCTGCATCTTAACACTTGTCATTTTAGCGTTAATTTAGCCTGCTCATTTGTAGTAATTGTTTCTTTGTGGTTTTAACATACATTTTACCAGTCATTAATGAAGTCGAATATTTTTTAAGTGCTCATTTGCCATCTGCATATCTTCTCTGGTGGAAGGTGTGTTTGATTCTTTTGCCCACTTACTTATTTGTTTCCTTATTGAATTTCTCTTTCAGTGCTAGGAATCAAACCTAGGGTCTCATGCAAGTGAGGCAAGCACTCTACCACTGAGATACATCCCCAGTTCTTCCTGAATTTTGAAAGTTCTTTTTTTTGTAGTTTTGTGAAGCAGGGTCTCACTGTGTAGTTCAGGGCTGGCCTTGCACTCACTGTGTAGCCCAGGCTAGTCTTGAACTTGTAGCAATTCTTCTGCCTCATCCTCCCAAATTCTGGGACTATGGGCATGTGCCACCATGCCCAGCTGAAAGTTCTTTATATATTCTGTATTCAGATTGTTTTGCAAATCTATTATTTGGAACTCCTTTCTCTCAGTTATACTTCGTTGTTCAGTCTCTTAATAGTTTTTCATTTTAATAGAGTTCAGTTTATCAAATGTTTTCTTTATACATCAGATCATGCTTTTCATGATATATTTAGGAAATCTTTCCCTACTGTAAAGATTAGAAAATATTCTCATTTTCTTCTAGAGATTTTATTAGAAGTTAGATTTTATAGTTGTTCTGTCGTTGTTTAGGCTGGTCTAGGTCTTTTGCATTTCCATTTCCATTTCCATTTTACAATCTGCTCATCGATTTCTTTAAAAAAAAAGAAAAAACCTGCTAGAATTTTGTTTGCAATTGCATTAAATCTGAAGATAGATATGGGCAGTTGATATCGTAATAATACTGAGTTTTTGGACCCATCAACATGGTATTTCACTTTATTTAAGTCTTTAATTTTTCTCAAATATTTTTATAGTTTTTACTCAGTCTTTTGTATCTTGTGTCATATTTATCCCTAAGTTTATTACCTTTCTGGATGCTTTATCAGTGATACTGTTTTATATTGCAGTTTTTACATTTATTACATAGACATACAATTGATTTTTGTATATTGATCTTCCATCTTAAGATATTATTAAATTCACTTATTAACTCTGGTAGCATTTTTTAAGATTCCGTCAGTTTTCTACATAGAATCTTTCTTCTCAAACTGAATGCCTTATATATACTTTGTTTCTTCCCTTCTTTCCTTCTCCCTCTTTGTTTGGGTAACAACCTCCCTTACAATCTTGAAAAGAACTGCTGATAATGGGTGTGTTGTCTTTTTCCTGGTCTTGTGGAGAACATAGTCTTTTTCCATAAAATAGAATGCTACTTGTAATGATCACATCAAAGAACTTTTCTTTTGCCCCTACTTTAATGGAGGTTTGTTTTTTTTTTTAAATTAGGAATGGGTATCGAATTTTGTTAAGTGCTCTCTATGAATTTACTATAATATATAATCTATGGTTTTTAATTTAAATTTTACTATAATGGTAAATTACCTTTTTGTTTTGTTTTGTTTTTGTTTCTTTGCAGTACTGGGGATTGAACCCAAGGCCTTTGTACTGAGCTACATCCCTAGCCTTTTTCTCATTGTGTATCTTAAGATAAGGTGTCACTAAGTTGTCCAGACTAAGCTCTAACTTGCAGTCTTCCTGCCTCAGGCTCCCAGAGTGTTGGGGTTATAGGTATGTTCTATCACATTTGGCTGTGATTGATTTTAAAATGTTATCCCATTCCTGGTACAAACCTTACCTGGTTATGAAGTACTAACAGTTTATATTTTTTATTAGACTTGCTAAATTTTTAAATTAATTTTATTGGTACATTTTAGGTATACAACATGATGACATTCATCATTGGGAACTTGTACCTTTATATGACATATCTTGGTTCTTATTTTTTCCCCTTTCCCCTGCCCTCCCTTTTTACAAAGACTGTTTCCAGTTTTTCCTTTTCTCATATTTATTCCTTTCCCTTCTTTCCTTTCCCCAATCCCTCCTACTTCCCCTTCCTCTTTGGACCTTTTCTTCCTATTTCACCTTATCTATTCTACATTTTGATCCTTATTTACACTTTCAGTTTCTCACACCAGAGAACCTATTTGGTATTTACACATGTGTGTCCTATTTATTTCACTTAAGAGTATGGCCTCAATGTGCATCCATTTAGCTATAAATGTCTCTGAACTTGCTAAATTTTTAAAATTTTTACATATATTTATAGATGTGATCTGTAGTTTTCTTTCTTTCGTAATGTCTTTGTTGGATTTTGGATTGAGTGTGATATTCCCCTCATAGAATGAATTGCACAATATTCCATCTTCCTCAGTTTGTCACAACAGTTTGGTCAGAATTAGTATTATTCCTTTCTTTCTTTCTTTCTTTCCTTTTTTTGGTACCAGGGATCAAACTCAGGACCTTGTGCTTGTGAGGCAGGCCACAGCACCACTGAGCTAAATCCCCGGCCAGTATTATTCCTTTCTCTTTTTTTTTTGGTCAAACTTGGGTCCTTCCGCTTGTGAGGCGGGTGGCGGAACCACTGAGCTAAATCCTCAGCCTATTATTCCTTTCTTAAATGTTTGATAGAACTCATCAGTGAAACCACCAGACTGAAGATTTTTTTGTGAGAAAGTTCAGAACTTCAGATTCCATTTCTTTAATTGATGTACGGCTCTTTGGGCCACCTGTTTCTTCTGTAGTGAGCTCTGGTATTTATGTCTTTCAGAGGATCTGTCCAGGTCCCCTAAGCTGTTCCAGTGCCATCCGTTTCTTTGTGCAGATGCATCTGCTGTCATTTCTCTCTTTCTGAAGGGTCTAATTGAGTGCTGGTGTGCTGGTGAGGAACTGCTTCAGTTTTTGTATATCATAAAGATAATGTCGTCTTGGCTTTTGAAAGATACTTTTTGCCACCTGTAGAACCTTACTTGGGTTGACAGTTTTTTTAATTCTCAGTATTAAAAATGCTTGTCCCAGTGTCTTCTGACTTGCATGTTTCAGACAGGAAATCTCCTGCTGTCCTTGTCCTTCTTCCTCTGTGTGCAGTGTCTCCCACACACCTCTGGCTGCTTTCAAGATCTGGTCACAGTGTGCCTGGTATGTTGGGTAGTTTTCTTTGCTTTTTTTGTGTTTGGGGGTTCACTGAACTTCTTAAATTTGTATCTGTTTTGGAACTTTTTCAATCACTAGTTCTTTTCTTTCCCCTGTTCCTTCCTTGGAACTATAATTATATGCATGTTAGGCTGCTGGAAGTTGTGGCACAGCTCATC